CCGGGAGCGGCCACTGCACTCCAGTCTGGGCGACTGAGTGAGACTTCAGCTCAAAAAAAAAAAAAAATTGTGAAGTGTAGACCAGTAACGGTGGCTCACACCTGTAATCCCAGCATTTTGGGAGGTGGAGGTAAGAAGTGAAAGAGTTACCTGAGCCCAGGGGTTTAAGACCAGCCCTGGCAAGTTGGCAAGACCTGATCTCTACAATAAATAAAAAAAATTAGGGCCGGACTCGGTGGCTCAGCCTGTAATCTCGCGCTTTGGGAGGCCCAGGTGAGTGAATTGCCTGAGCCTGTGGGTTCGAGACCCACCTGGGCAACTTGGCGAAACCTCATCTTTACAATAAATCAAAAAATCAGCCGGGCGTAGTAGCGCGTGCTTGTAATTTCGGCTACTTGGAAGGCTGAGGTGAAAGATCGCCGGAGCCCAGCGTGCCAAGGCTGCAGTAGCTGTGAGCAACAGAGTGAGACTCCAATTTAAAAATATATATATTTCCTTTAGTTTAAAAGGTAAAACTTGGTCATTATTTTTTAAAAAAAGAAGAAAAGCCTGGGCATGGTGGCTCAAGCCTGTAATCCCAGCACTTTGGGAGGTGGAGGTGAGAGGATTGCCTGAGCCCAGGGGTTTGAGACAAGCCTGAGCAACTTGGTGAGACCTCATCTCTACAGTAAATCAAAAAATAAGCTGTGCATGGTGGTACGCACCTGTAGTTCCAGTTACTTGGAGGATTGAGGTGGAAGGATCACTTGAGCCCAGCAGGTCCAGGCTGTGGTGGCCGTGAGTATGCCACTGCACTCCAGCCAGGTTGACTGAGTGAGACTCCAACTAAAAAAAAAAAACAAAAAAGAGGTTAACTCCTTTAGGTCCCCTCCTACTGTGGGAGCTTTTCTGTCTTCTCAATGAATCCTGCTTTCGCACTTAAAAAAGAAAAAGAAAGCTGGGCTCAGTGGCTCAGCCTGTAATCCCGTCCTTTGGGAGGCTGAGGTGAGTGGATTGCCTGAGCCCGCGGGTTCGAGACCCGCCCGGGCAGCAAGACCTCATCTCTACAATAAATCAAAAAATCAGCCGGGCGTGGTAGCGCATGCCTGCAATTCCGGCTACTCGGAAGGCTGAGGCGGAAGGATCGCCGGAGCCTAGCAGGTCGAGGGTGCAGTGGCCGGGTGTGGCCACTGCACTCCAGTCTGGGTGACAGAGTGAGACTTCAACTCAAAAAAAAAAAAAAAGAGACAGTGTTAAAGGATACTTTAGCACAAAGTACTCATTGTCTCCCTCACTCCAATGTGTATCCTTCTAGCAAATCTATGCAATTATGAACATATTTTATGCAATTCATCTCCCTGCATTTTTATTCGCATTACTGGTAACCCGCCATACACATCGTTTGATGCTTTTTTTTTTTTTTTTAAAGACAGGGTCTTACTCTGTTGCCCAGGCTAGAGTGGTACAATCCCGGCTCCCTGCATCCTCTACCTCCTAGCCTCAAGTGATACTTCTGTCCCAGCCTCCTGAGTAGGCTGAGGCTCTACGCATGAATCACCATGCTTGGTGTGCAGTGGCACGAGTACGACTCACCACAGCCTTGACCTCCTAGGCTTAGGCGATCCTCTGTCTCAGCCTTCTCAGTAGCTAGGACTTCAGACACAGGCCACTATGCCCAGCTAATTTTTAAAATTTTTTTGTAGAGACGAGGTCTTGCTATGTAGTCCAGGCTGGTCTCTGACTCTTGGACTCAAGCAGTCCTCCTGCCTCTTCCTACCTAAGTGCTGGGATTACAGGCATGAGCCACTGCACCCAGCCATTCTTTTTTTATTTAATAACACTCATTATATCTTCTTGTCCTTTGCCCAAAAAGAACACATGTATCTGCTTTCTTCTTCTTCTCCTCTTCCTCCTCCTCCTCCTCTTCCTCCTCCTCCCTTCTCCCTTCTCCTTTGAGTCAGGGTCTCACTCTGTCACCCAGGCTGGAGTGCAGTACCACACTCATAGCTCGCTGCAACCTCAAAACTACTGGGCTCCTCCCACCTCAGCCTCCCAAGTAGCTAGGATTATAGGTGTATGCCACCATACTCAGCTAATTTTTAAATTTTTTTTTTCTTTTTGAGTTGGAGTCTCACTCTGTCACCCAGGCTGGAGTGCTATGGCGCACTCACAGCCACTCCAGCGTCGACCTGCTGGACTCCGGTGATCCTTCTATCTCAGCCTTCCAAGTAACAGAGACAGGATTTTGCTGCGCTGTGCAGGCTGGTCTTGAACTCCTAGGCTCAAGCAATCTTCCCACCTCAGCCTCGCAAAGTGCTGGGATTACAGGCATGAGCCACCATGCCCAGCTCAAGCTGTCACTTTTTGACAGGGTTGATGGTCTCTTCCATTTCTGCTTGGCCAACTTTTACTTGCCCTTCAAGACTCAGCTCAAGCCAGGCTCGGTGGCTCAGCCTGTAATCCCACGCCGTTGGGAGGCTGAAGTGAGTGGATTGCCTGAGACGGCGGGTTCCAGACCCGCCTGGGCAACTTGGCGAGACCTCATCTCTACAATAAATCAAAATGAACTGGGTGTGGTAGCGCGCGCCTGTAGTTCCAGCTACTCGGAAGGCTGAGGTGGAAGGATCTCTGGAGCCCAGCAGGTCATGGCTGCGGTGGCCGGGAGCGGCCACTGCACTCCAGTCTGGGTTACAGAGTGAGACTCCAACTCAAAAAAACAAAACAAAACAAAACAAAAGACTTAGCTCAGATGTGCCTGCCTCCTGACCTCCTCCAGGTTCAGCAGATGCCTTTCCTTGGCACTCCTACAATGCCCCATGCTTCCTTCTCTCCTGGCATTGTCATCCCATGCTGTTAGCATCTGTCTGTCTCCAGGGCCCACATTTCTTGCCTTTTATCCCCACTGTGGGGTCTGATATACAGTGAGTGCTTAGGAATTGTTGACCAGATGAGTTGGTGCTTGATACAATAGTGACACTTTTAATAACATTAAATTCAGAAGAGTGAACTAATTTTACTTTATTTTATTATTATGATTTTTTAATTGGAATCTTACTCTGTAGCCCAGGCTGAAGTGCATTGGCATGCTCATTGCCACCGCAGCCTCGACTTGCTGGTCTCCTGCCATGCTTCCATCTCAGTCTTTCAAGTAGCTGGAACCACAGGTGTGCCACCACATCCGGCTAATTTTTTGATTTATTGTAGAGATGAGGTCTCTCCAAGTTGTCCAGGCTGGTCTAGAGCCCCTGGGCCCAGGCAATCCTCTCGTCTCTGCCTCCTAAAGTGATTGGATTACAGGTATGAGCCATTGCGCCCGGCTAAAGTGAACTTATTTTAAAGACTGTAGGGTGCCAGGCACAGTGTCTCACACCTGTAATCCCAGCACTTTGGGAAGCAGAGGCAAGAGGATTGCCTGAGCCCAGGGGTTTGAGACTAACCTGGGCGAGATCTCATCTCCACAATAAATCAAAAAAATTAGCCAGGCATGGTGGCATGTGCCTGTAGTTAGTTCCAGTTACTTGGAAGGCTGAGGTGGAAGGATCGCCTGAGCCCAGCAGGTTGAGGCTGCGGTGGCCATGAGCATGCTACTGCACTCTAGCCTGGGCAACAGAGTGAGACTCCGACTCACAAACAAAAAACAAAGAAAGGTTTAGGATGAGCTTGTTTTTAGATGGTTTGAGCTGGAAGTGCAGGCTGGATATGGTGGTCAAACTCTCCAATATGTGATTGGAATTAGGGTTTTGGAGCCCAGAGGGTCCTTCCCAGAAAGAGGCTGTTATAGCAGGTGTGGGAGGGTGACCTGTGAGAGGATATTTAGGGTGTTGGAGGCACTTAGGGCCTGGTGTTTCCCAACCTGGGGATCCCTTCCAGTAAGGAACAAGTTTTAATTTTGTATCTGATGTAGGGAAACATGGTGGTCCTTGTGCATGATAGTGACGATGCTGAGGATGAAGAAAACGACATCCTGCTGAATGGCCTCAGTCATCAGAGCCACCTGATCCTGAGGGCTGAGGGCCTGGCTACCGGTTTCTGCAGAGACGTGCATGGGCAGGTATGTAGGGCCTGGTGCCAGAGGCTCACAGGTAACAGGCTGTCTGCCTCTGTGTCTATGACTGCACAGGGGAGCATCAGGTCTGAGGAAATGTCTGGTTGGGACATTCCTTCAGGTGGAGGGAAAACCTCAGAAATTGTGTGACTATAGGCCAGAGACCTACTCCAGATGGTGCTTAGCCTCAGGGGCCCATGCCCATTTTCCATGGTGGTCCCATTTGTGATCCAGGTGGCATTCTCCTGAAAAGGAGACAGTGTCTAGAGTAGAAGGCAGGGGCCATGCTATCAAATATCAGCATAATTCCTCTGCATTACTATAGCAGGCTTTGTCTATTCAGGTCCACACTGTTCCTTTTTCTTTTCTTTTCTTTTCTTTTCTTTTTTTTTTTTTGTGTTGGAGTGTCACACTGTCGCCCAGGCTGGAAGGCAGTGGCATGCTCCCAGCCAGTGTAACCTCGACCTGCTAGGCTCAGATGATCCTTCCACCTCAGCCTTCCAAGTAGCTAGAACTACAGGCACGTACCACCATGCCCGGCTAATTTTTTTTTTATTGTACAGATGAAGTCTCGCCAAGTTGCCCAGGCTGGTCTCGAATCCATGGGCTCAGGTAGTCCTCTCACCTTAGCCTCCTAAAGTACTAGGATTATAGGCGTGAGCCACCGCACCTGACCCACACTCTTCCTTTTAAAATAAAGACTTTGGCCAGGCACGGTGGCTCAAACCTGTAATCCCAGCACTTTGGGAAACTGAGGTGAGGGGACTGCCTGAGCCCACGGGTTCAAGAAAAGCCAGGGCAACTTGGCGAGACCTCATTTCTACAACAAGAATAAAAAAAGTTAGCTGGGCATGGTAGCTTTCATCTGTCGTTCCAGCTACTTGGAAGACTGAGGCAGAAAGATTACCTGAGCTCAACAGGTCAATGCTGGGGTGACTGTGAGCGTGCCACTGCACTCTAGCCTCAGCAACAGAGTGAGACTCCAACTCAAAAAAATAAAAAAGACTTAGCTGGGCACAGTAGCTCATGCCTGTAATCCCAGCACTTTGGGAGGTGGAGCCAAGAGAACTGACTGAACCCAGGGGTTCAAAACCAGCCTGGGCAACTTGGCAAGACCTTGTCTCTACTGTGCTGGCACACGCCTATAGTTCCAGCTACTTGGAAGGCTGAGGCGGAAGGATCGCCTGAGCCCAGCAGGTTGAGGCTGTGGTGGCCGTGAGCGTGCCACTGCATTCCAGCGTGAGCAATAGAGACTCTAACTCAAAAAAAAAAAAAATACTTGAACAGCTTTCCCCTGGAAGACTTTTTACTTCCTTTTATTTTTCTTTCTCTTCCACATTTTCAGTTATGAACAAATATGACTGTTGTAATAGAGGAGGAAGTCTGTATTTTTAGTTAGCTGGTAACAAGCTTTAAGGACACAGGGAAGGCAGGGCTCGGATATTTGGGGAGACTGCTACTCTTTCATTCTTTTCCATCTCTGTAGCTGAGGATCCTGTGGAGGAGGCCATCGCAGCCCACAGCCCAGCGGGATCGGAGCCTCACGTACCAGTACAAGATACAGGACAAAAGCGTGTCTTTTTTTGCCAAAGGAATGTCTCCTGCTGTTCTATGACCTGATTCAGGGGCAGCTGATACTACCTTGTACTGCTTTCAGCTTTCAGATGCAGAAGATAAAGCAACCTAGCAGGAATGGGTCTTTTGCCTTTGTAGTAGTATTTCAGATTGGACTGCCGACTCCATGGTGACCTGGGAAGGGTCGAATGGTGTGATAATAGTATGCCTTTGCTCCCCGGGCCCTGTTCAGAAAACATAGTGAGGGATCCATGATCCAGCCTCTGCTGAGAGAGGCTGGATGTTGAACCCCAGTGAAAAGGGCCCTTTGGAACCTTTGTGTAAGTAAAATTTTACCCTAACTGCCCATTTTTGGTTGTTGTGCCTTTAAGAGCCAGAGCAGGTATAAATGTGCCAGGCAAGAGAAAGTCCCTGTTAGCTGGTATTCAGGGTGACAACTAGGATGATTATGGGTGAAATAAAGTAAGTTCCCACATCAAGCCTTCCTGTGGGTTGTCTCTTTTAATTTTCATCTTCGTCCTGCAAAAGTGCTTTCCCTTTAAATCCGGTGAGGAAACCAGCTTAGAAGCACACTAAAGGCTGTAGAGCAGGTTGTAGGTAATGGGGCCTGACTCCAAAGTTCACACTTTGCTGACTGATAGTCATGGAAACCAGAGGCCAACTCCTCACCCAAAGGTATAAATGTTTGGCTTCTCCTGTTTCTGCAATGCCTTGCCCACATGCCAATGTGTACTAACCCTCAAGGGCCTGGCATCAGGACCTTGGTCACATGAGGCTCTGTGTAGAGCACAGGTGCATATGGCCTTAGGGAGAGGAGTAAGGGATGTTCTTGCTGCCAGATGGATGGAGCCTAGGTGAGGACCTGGTGCCTCCCTCACCTGTGATGGTGCAAGAGGTGAGCTCTTACCCCAGCATCTTGTAGATAACAAGTGGTCCCATTAAGTGCCTCAGAGTACACCAGAAGTATTCTCTCAAAATTGGTGCGTTTTTGTTTATTTTTTTATTTTTTGAGTTGGAGTCTCACTCTGTCGCCCAGACTGGAGAGCAGTGGCCACTCCCGGCTACCGCAGCCTCAACCTACTGGGCTCCGGCAATCCTTCCGCCTCAGCCTTCCAAGTAGCCGGAATTACAGGCATGCGCTACCATGCCCGGCTGATATTTTGATTTATTGTAGAAATGAGGTCTCACCAAGTTGCCCACGCGGGTCTCGAAACCGCAGGCTCAGGCAATCCACTCACCTCAGCCTCCCAAAGCGTGGGATTACAGACTGAGCCACTGAGCCCGGCTTGCATTTTTTTTTTATTGAGTTGGAGTCTTACTTTGTTGCCCAGGCTGGAGTACAGTTGCCCACGCTCACGGCCACTGCAGCCTCAACCTGCTAGGCTCAGGTGTTCCTTCAGCCTCAGCCTCAGCCTTCCAAGTAGCTGGAACTACAGGCATGTGCCACAATGCCCAGCTAATTTTTTGATTTATTGTAGAGATGAGATCTCGTCAAGTTACCCAGGCTGGTCTCGAACCCATGGGCTCAGGCAATCCTCTCAGCATGAGCCACCACACCCAGCCTGGTTGCATTTTTTTTTTTTTTTTTTAGTTAGAGTCTCACTCCTTCGCCCAGGCTAGAGTACAGGGGCATGGTCACAGCCACCCCAGCGTTGACCTGCTGGGCTCTGGTCATCCTTCTGCCTCAGCCTTCCAAGTAGTCGGAACTACAGGCATGTGCTACCATGCCCGGCTAATTTTTTGATTTATTGTAGAGACGAGGTCTTACCATGATTCCCAGGCTGGTCTCGAACTCGTGGGCTCAGGCAATCTTCTCACCTCAGTCCCCCAAAGTGCTGGGATTAAAGGCTTGAGCCACCATGCCTGGCTTGTATTTTTTAAATGTAAATTATACCACAATTAATTTTATCTTTAAAACAAATAAAATGAAAAAAATGACAGTATTTTGCTGTATACTGAGGAGCTTTCATATCTGTTGTTTAGTTTTAGATCTTTTACATTTTTAGTCTTCGGGAAAAATTTATCACTCCTCTCTTTAGATGATATTGACTATTGTACAGGATAACCCACTGACAAAATAGCTGCTTTTATTCTCAAAATACTATAGACCTGATAGACCATTTGAAACTGGCAACTGGAAGACTGAGGCAACTGGAAGGCTGAGGTAGAAAGATGACCTGAGCCCAGCAGGTTGAGATTGCACTGGCTGTGAGTGTGCCAGTGCACTCCAGCCTGGGCAACAGAATGAGGCGCCAATTCCAAGAAAGAAAGAAAGAAAGTTGGCCAGGTGCAATGGCTCACACCTGTTATTCCAGAATTTTGGGAGGCTGAAGTAGGAGGATTGCTTGAGCCCAGGAGTTCAAGACCAGCCTGGACAACATAGAGAGACTTTGTCTCTACAAAAATAAAAATATAAAAAATGAAACAGGTACATTGGCATGCACATGTAGTCTCAGCTATTTGGGAGGCTAAGGCAGAAGGATCACCTGAGCCCAGGAGGTCAAGGCTGCAGTGAGCCATGATCATGCCACTATACTCCAGCCTGAATGACAGAGTGAGATGCTAACAAAAAATAAGGCCAGGCGTGGTGGCTCATGCCTATTATCCTAGCACTTTGGGAGGCCAAGGTGAGAGGACTGCCTGAGCCCACAGGTTCGAGACCAGCCTGGGAAACTTGGTGAGACCTCATCTCTACAATAAATCAAAAAATTAGCCAGGCATGGTGGTGCATGCCTGTAGTTCCAGCTGCTTAGAAGGCTGAGGTGGAAGGGATACCTAAGCCCAGCAGGTCGAGGCTGTGGTGGCCGTGAGTGTGCCACTGCACTTCAGCTTGGGCAACAGAGTGAGACTCCAACTCAAAAAAAAAAAAAATTATGAGTGGGGCAATCTTACTTTGAGAAACTTGCCCATGGCAGGTCTTTCTGCCATGAGTCTTCCCTTTTCCTTCTCTTTTTCTTGCTAGTAAACTGTTTTCAAACTTTAAAAAAAAAATTATGAGTGGAAGTAACTTAAGAGCAAGTAATTATTTTAAAATCTAGTGATTATTTTATTAATATTTTATGCAGGCTTCATTTTAGTTGCAATTCTGAATGGGTGTGACACCAATTTTTACATGATATGAATGTTGCTATCACATTTCTTAGATTAATGTTTTCACTAAATGTTTTGTGTTTAATAGCTAGTCAGTGTTTTATGGTGTCATTATATGTTAATTTGCTTAGCTATTCTCTGGGCATGTAGGTTCTGGTTTTTATAGCTATCAATTATACTGTTAGCTGGGCTCGGTGGCTCAGCCTGTAATCCCGCACCTTTGGGAGGCTGAGGTGAGTGGATTGCCTGAGCCCGTGGGTTTGAGACCCGCCTGGGCAGCGAGACCTCATCTCTACAATAAATTAAAAAAAAAAAAAATCACCCGGGCGTGGTAGCGCATGCCTATAATTCCGGCTACTTGGAAGGCTGAGGCGGAAGGATCGCCGGAGGCCAGCAGGTCGAGGATGCGGTGGCTGGGAGCGGCCACCGCGCTGCAGTCTGGGCGACAGAGTGAGACTCCAACTCAAAAAAAAAAAAATTATACTGTTAATGACTTTTACGTATTATACCTATCAGGGGTGGGGACAAGTTCTTGTTTCCACAGAACATTGACAAAACAGTCACTCATAGAGCATATGGAACTGATATTCTAGTGGAAGAGACAGGCAGTTAACAAAATTGACAAGTGATATATATAGAGAGAGTTAAAGAGAGCATGATAAGTGCTATAAATACAGCAGAGAAGGGGGCCATGAAAAGTGAGGAGAGCTGAGACATCAGTATCTACTCCAAGTGGAATTGCTAGATGACAACATGAACAGATCCTTGCCTAGTATCAGGTTGCCCTTTAGAATAATGGAGCCATTTAACAGCGGTACATAGATGTTCCTCCACCATCTTTGTTTTTTTTTTTTTTTTGAGTAGGAGTCTTACTCTGTCGCCCAGGCTGCAATACAGTGGCAAGCTCACGGCCACTGCAGCCTCCACTTGTTGGGCTCAGGTGATCTTTCCATCTCAGCCTTCCAAGTAGTATGCACCACCAAGCCCGGCTAATTTTTTGATTTATTGTAGAGACAAGGTCTCACCAAGTTGTCCAGGCTGGTCTCGAACCCCTGGACTCAAGCAATCTTCTCGCCTTTGGCTCCCAAAATGCTGGGATTACAGGTGTGAGCCATCATGTCCAGCCCAACTTTGGGTTTAACTAACTTTTTATTTATTTATTTATTTTTTTTTGAGTTGGAGTCTCACTCTGTCGCCCAGACTGGAGTGCAGTGGCCGCTCCCGGCCACCGCAGCCTCGACCTGCTGGGCTCCGGCGATCCTTCCGCCTCAGCCTTCCGAGTAGCCAGAATTACAGGCATGCGCTACCACGCCCAGCTGATTTTTTGATTTATTGTAGAGATGAGGTCTTGCTGCCCAGGCGGGTCTCAAATCCGTGGGATCAGGCAATCCACTCACCTCAGCCTCCCAAAGGCGTGGGATTACAGGCTGAGCCACCGAGCCCGGCTTAATTTTTTAAATTAATGTAATAGTTGGTGCAAAATTGTTGAAAATAGATATTTCTTTTTTTGTTGTTTTGGATGGAGTCTCACTGTATCACTCAGTGTGCAGTGCAGTGGCATGCCTATGGCCACCGCAGCCTCAACCTGCTGGACTCAGGCAATCCTGCTTCAGACTTCCAAGTAACTGGAACTACAGGCATGTGCCACCACGCCCAGCTAATTAAAAAAAAATTTTTTTTTGTAGAGATGGGGGTCTCTCCATGTTGTCCGGGCTGGTCTTGAACCTGTGGCTTTAGGCAGTCCTCTCGCCTCTGCCACCCAAAGTGCTGGGAACACAAGCGTGAGCCACTGCGCCTGGCCTAATGTGGATATTTCTTTAATGACCAGGATGTCGTTTTCTCTCCCTTTTCCCATGTGTACAGAATCTGTTCCTTGCCTTGGCACACACTCATCAGTTAAAACCTGTTGTCAACCTTCTTTTATTAACTTTCATAGTATTTTGGAAAGTAAGATTGATAATTCTTTATTTAGTTATATTTTTCTACATTTTGGTTTTTAAAAAATATTCTGTCTTCAGAAACATTTGTTTTATGTTTAGATATGTATTCGTTCAAGACATTTTTATTATTTATTTGAGGATTTTAGTTTATTTTTACTTTTTATTTTAGGTTTAGGGGGTGCACATGCATGTTTTTTACATGGACATATTATGTAGTGGTGGGGATTGGATCTCAGGTGGCCCATTACCCTGAGAGCAAACATTGTATCCCGTAGGTAGTTTCTGAACTCCCTCCTCCCTCCCCTCTTATCGGGGTCCCCGGTGTCTATTATTTTCGTCTTTGTAACTGTTTAGCTCCCGCATATGAGAGAGAACATGCAATGTTTGGTTTTCTGTTTCTGAGTCAGTATACTTAGGATGATGATCTCCAGTTCCATCCGTGTTGCTGC